CATGTGTACACAATTTCGGATCAATCGATTTATGCGACGACTAAAAGTATGTGCGGTCTAAAAATCTAGTATTCGAATGTGAGGAAAAACATAAATGTAACTAAAAATTATTTATTTTGCTTTTGTAATTAAAATATTGGAAGGTATAATTATAAGTAAAATTGTAATGAATAGAAAAATATATATATACCATTATATTTGTGTTTTTTAATTATACTATTTTCATGTTTCGTATATCATCTCGTTTATCGAATGCATCAATAATATATCAAATATAGTTTATATTATAAATTGTATAGGTACGAAGTATTGTATATATTTTACGTGTATCAGCATCAATAATATATCAAATATATTTTATATTATAAATTGTATATGTACGAAATATTGTATATATTTTACGTGTATCAGCCGTATATTATGAAGACAATATTTGTATATCACATGTATATCAATATTCATTTGAAGTCAATATTATCATGCAAGTAACTATAATTCACAAGCTCTCAGAAGTTACTGTTAATATTCTACAGTTTATATATATATATATATATATGTATATATACACCTTCAGGTAAAGCATATGCAAAGCCACTGGAATATAAGTGATGAAGAGCACAAGATCTAGAGACTGACTGACCTTTTTGAAGCTTGATTCTAACATTTGAAACTTCATTCAAACTTCATAACCAGGATTCACTTTCTGCTGTACATCTCCATAGCTTTCAAGCTCTTCCATGTCCTCCAAACTCCCCATGAACAAAGGCAGCCTTTGATGCAGCTTACCTGGCTGCATTGAAAGAATTCGGTTTTTACCATCTGAGCCTCGGCCTCCGGCTTGCTCGACAAGGAGGCTAAGAGGGTTCGCCTCATATACTAGACGAAGATGGTCTCTTGGATTCATTGCCACTCCGCCGTACAATAAAGTTCGATGGAGATCGGCAACCAGAGAACATATGTAACGGGCAGAGTACTTCTTTGGATTTTTGCCTTTTCCCTGTCTGATTGTGTCGATATATCGCCGCAATCCTTCCGGCCAATCAAAATATCTCGCATCGTTTACGGAATATATTTGCCCTGAAGAAAAAGAAAGCAGTTGAAACAAGGTCCAAAGATCCCCACATTGTCTCTTGAATTTTATAATTCAATAATAGAATAGGAAAGAAATATATGTGAGATCCCACGTCGGTTGAGGAGGAGAACAAACATTCTTTATAAGGGTGTGGAAATCTCTTCTTAGCGGACACGTTTTAAAAACTTTGAAGGGAAGCCCAAACGGGAAAGCCTAAACAAGACAATATCTGCTAGTGGTGGACTCGAACCGTTACATTCTAATACTCCAAAAATCTGCTAGTCTAAAAATGCTCCAATCTACTTTAAGTATAATCATTCTATTAACTTTAAGTATAATCATTCTATTAACATTAACAAACTCCTTAATTGGTAGGTTGTTAGACCTGCCTCGATATCACCCCACTAACACTTTGGGTGATGGACTCGGATCGTTACATTCTAATACTCCAAAAATCGGCTAGTCTAAAAGTGCTCCAATCTACTTTAAGTATAATCATTCTATTAACATTAACAAACTCCTTAGCTAATGTGTTTGTTAGATGAACACGACTCTCCACAGTGGTATGATATTGTCCACTTTGAGCATAAACTCTCGTGGCTTTACTTTGGAATTCCCCAAAATGCCTCATACCAATGGAGATAGTATTCCTTGATTATAAACCCATGATCATTCCCTATATTAGCCGATATGGGACTTTCATCCAACAATATCAATATTGTGTTATATTTGGAACCATGGAACCCGACATGTTACCTCGAGGAGGGATTTTGATATGAGGATGAGTAAGAATGAAGTCTCCAGTAGAATGGTCCAGTGTAAATGCATGTGTCCCAGAACCAAAGCTGGCACAGAGTATTGTAGCTGATGAGTAGAGAACATATCCAGCTGCCAAAAGTTTAGTTCCACTCTGTAGAGAATTAAGCACGGCCTTCTCTTCTCTTGGTAAGTTATCAAGTTCAACAAGACGTTTATAAACCCCGAAAATTGTGCCAGTAGGTATCGATGCATCGATGTTTCGAGAACCATCGAGCGGGTCTGTTACCACCACAAATGGACCATCATCTCTAATCCAAACTGGCTCATCATCTTCTTCTGAAGCCATCACAGCAACTTTTCCAGACTTTTTAAGAGATGATAAGATGATTTCATTCTGTAAAAAAAGAGAAATTGTTTCCCAGAATTGAGTTTTTCTTTCTCCAGGATGTATTTGCAAAGAAAACCGAACACCTGAGTTGCTAAACTAGAAAGCCCAAGCAGTAATATCTTGAATATTTTGGCAAGTTATAAGTTTGGAATTTAGGCCTCTATGTCTAAGAATTCCTCAAAATATCATACAAGATCATGTAACTTTTATTTATTGCATCTTCATGTTATAATATATCTAGGGTGGTCTTTCTGAGTACAAATCAAACAATCACTTCTCTGAACAATTTTAAGATTAAGGATAGTTTAAGAACAATGCAAGTTTGAGAGCGGTGAGATCCCACGTCGGTTGAAGAGGAGAACGAAACATTCTTTATAAGGGTGTGGAAATCTCTCCCTATCAAACGTGTTTTAAAAACCTGGAGGGAAAGCCCAAAGAAGACAATATCTATTAGCGATAGGTTTGGACTTCCACAAATGGTATCAGGGCCAGACATCGGGCAATGTGTTAGCAAGGAGGCTGAGCCCCAAAGGGGGGGTGGACACGAGGCGGTGTGCCAGCAAGGATGCTAGACCTCGAGGGGGTGGATTGGGGGGTCCCACATCGATTGGAGAAGGGAACGAGTGCCAGCAAGGATGCTGGGCCCAAAGGGGGGTGGATTGTGAAATCCCATATCGGTTAGAGAGGAGAACGAAACATTCTTTATAAGGGTGTGGAAACCTCTCCCTAACAGACTCGGGGGTGGATTGAGGGTCCCACGTCGATTGGAGAAGGGAATGAGTGTCAGTGAGGACACTGGGCCCCCAAGGAGGTGGATTGCAAGATCCTACATTCTTTATAAGAGTGTGGAAACCTCTCTGTAGCATACGCGTTTTAAAAACCTTGAAGGAAAGCCCGAAAGAGAAAACTCAAAGAGGACAATATCTACTAGCGGTGCATTACTAGAATTGGGTTAAAATATAGTTTTCGTCCCTGAAATTTCATTTTTAAGAGGACAATCAAGTCTTCAAGAAGTCCCAAATTTATCTTTCCTGTTAAAATCTAGGTTATGAATTCCTGAGTAAATGGCATTAACCAGAGCAATTTGGACACTGAAACAGAGACAACCTCAATGTTTATGAGCTTTAGTAAACAGTGCATTCAAAATTCAACAACTAGGCAGAGGCAACGAGACTGCTAAAGCTGAACTTGAGCTCATATAATGGAAACTGGAAGATCCATTGTTCTTCAGCTGATAGAACTAATCTTGACCTTAACCAGAACAATCGATGAAAGCCAACCTCGAGGACTATAAGATTCAGACAATAATGCATTCTAAATTCAACGACTAAAAACAGACTAACAAACATTCATACTTCAATCAATATCCAGAATCGATGGAAATTTGCTTACAGACACAATGTCGAGCGGCTTGGGTGCATCCCTCTCCGCTCCAACAGCCACTCCACCGCCGACAGCCAAACCCGCCGGATTTTGAAGATCGGAACTGAAGGGAGAAGCGACGAGAGCAGCAATTCTCTTGCAAGCGTACTGAATATGAGTCAACAGCAGCACCAAATCATCTCCCAAACCAATCCCGTCCTTTCCCACAAAGTCGGTCAAAGTATAGAGGCCATCAAAAGCGGCCCTGCTCGAAATAGTCTCTGTTCGCGACCCGACGGCGAGCCCAGAAGGCGGAGAAGCCATTGATATGGGCAGGCGAAGCTTGGAAGGAGAGGGGAAATGGCGGATTATTGGGGCGAAACGAGGAAGATTTGGGGGAAAAGAAAGGGGGGGATTGAAAGGGAGAATGCTTGTGGATTGCATAGTATAGACTTGGATTGGTTTTGGATTTGACGGAAGTTGATGGGATCATAATGGGCGGAGGATTGGGAATTTCATGGTTGGGTAAGATGAACATGGTGGTAATGGGATTATATAATAATATATACATATATATATATATATATATATATATATATATATATATATATATCAAAAATAAAAATAATAAATAAATAAAACTAAGCTATCCCAAAGATTAGGTGAACAAAAAAATTTAATAATAGTGAGGTAATGGGATTTTGTTTTTAACAGATTCTCAAGCTCTGAGCTTTTGGATATCAATTATTTTATCGACTTTATTAAAAATTTTCAAATATATTAGAAAAACAAAATGGAATTTAAAAAGATTTAAAGATTAATTGAAAAATACACGTCTAACCCAACCAATAAGTTAACCGAATAAAAGTCAAACTTTGCGGAGAATATTAACGTATGATCGTTTAGTATATCCCAAGCACCTTAGCTCTAGCCAGGTGTATACATGATTTTGGTGGACGGTCATACACCCTCATGTTGACATAACAAAAATAGTAAAAATCTAAGCAATGCGAATGCAAGTAGAAGGGATTTTGAACGAACATGTGGCCATGGGCAACACGCTCTGGACAAGCATGACCGAAACATACACGCGGCCGTAAACAACACTCTTTGGAACAAGAAGCACTAGTGATCTAGTGGTAGAATAGTACCCTGCCATGGTACATACCCGAGTTCGATACCTGGGTTGGTGCATTTTGCAATGATGATATTTGTGCCTAAAAAGTTGATCACATGGGTCATCAACATGATCTACCACAGCTTAGTCTGCCCACGTGAACATGTTAATTAATACACATTTGAAGCCCTGTTATCAATTTGTTCCATAATTAACACAAACTAAAATGAATCAACTTCTGAAAAGTTCAAGAATTGAACTTAAACCTGTTTATTTTAACAAGAAACATCAAGAACATGATATATATATCTCTGCAGAAACCAAAGATGAATATAAACAAGGAGAGAAGATTACAAAAGGGGTAAACATTGTGTTCATACTAATACAACAGTTGTCATGGTATGAACAGATGAATCTAATGGTGTTCTTGTTCCAGACTCCAAACTGGATATCTTGTCTTAAAAATGATATCTATATCTACAACTGTAAATAAGTACAGCTAAAGCAAATGATATCACAAGCATTGTTTTTATATATCACCACAAAACTTGATGGTTAAGAATTGATTAAGCAACAGAACAGATTAATAATATGTACAAGCATGGAAAGAATTGCCCGGAGAAGGAGAAGTGATTACGAGACTCGAGCGTTGGCATGAACCAAGCTTTGGTGATCAGGTTGGATAAACACAAAATCGCTCGCTTTGCTTGCAACACTGCTTATCTTTAAACAAGGGCTTTAGAACATCTGAAATTGCTATAACTGCATTAGAAAAAAATGGGGGAGAAAATGATCGGTATCAGATTGCTGCAAAGTTATATCATTACCTGATGTATCTAGGCATGCCTCCATAACCCTAGAGTGCATATTTTTTTAGACAAGTGATTCCTAAAAGTAAGATTCGAACTACTTTGTTGATCAAATATCTCAAGGCAAGAACACTTGTCTGAGATTTGAATCACTCCACAAACCAGATTGATCATGTCAAGCTTGAATGATTCTAAATTTTTCTATGGGGCATTTGACGAGTTGGAAGTTTTCTTTGTGGAGAAAGTATATTTATAGGTAAAAGACAGATTTTGATAAATGAAATTGAGCTCTCAAATTGAGACTTTTCCCCTGAGATTTCTAAGTTTCAAGCCATTCTTGTGGTAGATTGCATCTGAGTCATTCAATCAAACCTGAATCAAGTTCGATTATGGTTTCAAGCCATTCTTGTGGTAGATTGCATCTGAGCCATTCTTGTGGTAGATTGCATCTGAGCCATTCAATCAAACTTGGATCAAGTTCGATTGTGGAATGACTCAATTTAGAACAAGGTTCTAAATCTTGCTTTTAGATCTTTGATCTTGAGTGGTAATCTAATTCTAGCCTTATCTCTTGTTGATCCAAATTTTGTATAAGGAGGTGTTAATTTCTTTGATTCAAGGATTCTTGCTTCAACAAAAGCTTGAATCGTTGGGTTGAGGATTAGGGTTGCCTTACCGAAAGTTTTGGGGGGGTTAGACAATTGATGGGTCCGAGATTGATATCAAATCACTGGCCAAGGTCTTAGAAAATGGGGTCCAAACCCCTTTCGTTTAGAGAACATTTGGCTAGAGCATCCTTCCTTTAAATCCCACATGCCAATGTGGTGAAATGCTACGATTCTTGGTACATGGGAAGGGTATCATTTTATAGGGAAGTTGAGGTCTTTAAAAGAGTTACTTAAACTTTGGAATAGAGAGGTTTTTGGATAAACTTCTATAATAAATTGATAAGAACATGGAGTTTTTGTGGAAATTGAGGGAAAAAATAGATTTCCTAATAGAATTTAAGAGATTCCTCATAAAAAAATAAAATAAAATGGACACTCGAAAGCACATTGCATCTCTGTGTGTTTTAGTGAGCATGCCTCACGTCGATCCCTCGCTATCCAAGGAACTACACCTAGACGAGTGTCTCGACGCACATTTTAAACATCTAACAAGCATCGACACAAACATGAAACACAAGCATGAAACACAACTACGACACACATTGTTTAGCATCACTGACATGTGTTGGAGTGTGTTCGTACTTCCTAGTAATAGGTCGAAAAACTTGATAAATTTAAAGAGCAAAAAATAAAAAGCGTATTTTAACGAGTTACGAAAGGAACCCGAACCATGCAAAGTGAAGATGTTTTGAGGTTAGAGAGATGATCTTACCCTTACAGAATCGATGGAAGCACAAATGAATGGACGAACTTGAGATTTCAGTTTAAAATAAAATGAAATCTACTCTTGTAGCCTCAGCCGATTGAAAAACACCAGGAAATGAAATTCAGGTGCCCAATAAATAAATCCAACAACAGGTCCCCCTTTGATGTACTGCATAAGAACATAGATTACTCTCAAGCTCGGTAACAGATCAAACAAAATCACGAAGACAAGAAAAATGGTGAACTCCATACCTTTCCATCAAGAATAACAAGTTCGCCATCGACCCATCGAGGATTGCGAAAGCCTGGCTCAGCTAGCCTTCCTTGTCCTTTATATCTAGCAATCTAAAAAAACGAAGGTGCCACGAGATCATTCAGTAAAGAGAGGAGAAAGAGGAAGATCAAAACGGAGCAGATAAGGATAACGGTTTAAAATAATAGTCGACTAAGAATAAAAATTACCACTCCAAATTCTTCGGGAATGATCCCTTTATGAGGAAGCTGGTATCCTTTTCCAACCTTTGCACGAAACGCCACCTGGAAAACCATGACCATCCCGTCAATACCACGGGACATTGAATGGAAAGTCAAAGTAAACCAATTACCTTTCCAGCTGGTACATATGGATCCCCAATAACTTTCCAGGCTTCTACATATTCATAAAACTCAAGCTTTGAAGGCTCCTTATCCCCTCCTCCGTCCTCTTGCCATCGACCAAATTGGCGTCGTAGATGAATAATTTCTGATGTATATATTCCATGTGCGCCGATGTACAGTCCTGAAAGGGAACGAATTCTTGTTGATGCCTCCACTTGAGCTTTTTTCTATACTTGAATGGAATAAGAACTGTACAAAAATAATACCATTTAGAGGATCGGAAGAAGTCGGTATTTCAATGCGATTGAAACTCGTCGATCCAGAAAGAGGTTGATAGTTCTGTGCCTGGCTGATGGATACCTTTATTAACTCACTCAAATCTTTAAGTACCTGAAAAAACAAGTTCATAATGCACAAAAGTAAATAAATAAATAAAAATTGGCACCTAAGAATTGGAAAACTGACCAACAACTTATTAACATGCAAGAATTTCAAACCGACCTTCAACGGTATCTTTTCTTTGCCGACGAATTTGGCTAAATCGAGCATAACATGGTCAATACTACTTTGACCTCGAGGCTTGGGCTTCCTATCCATTGGACTTAGTTCCCTTTCGATCGATTCCTGTTTGTTCACATCATTCTCAATAGAGAAAGAAAATGAATAACGCCCCTTCTTTTCTAACTTCGCAGGTACTCGGAGTACATTTTTAGAAGAAAACCCACTAGAAAGCTTCTGAACTAAGCCGCTAACAATGATTTTGACAGCAAGTTCGTTTCGTCCCTGATTTTCAAGGAAACCGTCATCAACATCCAATTCAGCATCTCTCTCTTGTTGGCCATCCTTCGTCTTAGCTTCTACTTCCAACTCTTCAAAGTCGCTATCTTTCTCACTTTCTCCATCCTCCTCGTCTTCCTCTTCTTCGTCTTCTTCCTCCTCGATTATTTGCTCGATCACCTTAGATATCATGTCTTTGTCCATCTTTCCAGGGGTAGTCAGCTTCAAAACCTTGACCTTCACACCAGGAATCATATCTCTCAAAATATCCTGAAAAACGGGAAATCCAACAGCTATATCAGAGTCTCCATTCCTGATGTCACCATCTTCGGCTTCTTCGCCACCTACGATGAAAAGATCATCCTTTTCTTCAACGGGGTCTAAGGGATTCGATAGACTAGGTGAATCTATTCCTTTAGATGAACCATTTGAACTATCGGAGAAAACTCCTTTCCGCTTCAAGTACACAGCCTGAACATCCCAAAAAAGTACCTTAAGTAGCCAATTGTAGCCATTATAACATTTGGAAACAGATTCTAAGTGATTCAACCTAAAACTAACCATGATGAAAAAAAAGGTTGCAAACAAAAGGAGCCAAACCAAAGTAAAAATGGCTCCGATCAAAAGAATAAGATATAAGGATAATTTCGTAAAACTTTAACCACCAACGCCCAAAGAGAGACATAGAACCTAACAACGGCCACATCGTTAGACCTGTCAACCCTTAACAATAACGTAATGCTCCCAAATTTCAGCCTAAATTAGAGAACACACTAAATTTCATTCATTAACTTGAAGTTCGACAACAATGTCGTTTAACACATACTAACCCTCTTTGCTCAAGGAAACTGAACCAACTAAAGCTTCAACGTTTAACTGCTTCAACCTAAGTACCTAAGTAGTACCCTAATACTCCAATAGAAGGAACCTTTCAAGATTTAAATCATTCGAGAACAACTTCAATCTACCGAACAATGCTACTAAAACCAACCCTAAGCTCCAAAATCAAGCAAACACCAACTAAGTTCAAGGGACTAAACTTAAATTTTTGAAAAAATTAGAACTCATAGACAACTAAGATCAATTAATCTAAAAATTAACAGACAGAAAAGAGGAAACCCCAGTCCCTTCCTCCACGCCCTCCCGAAGAAAATCTCTCATAAGCTTCTCCATAGTATATTACTCACGGACACATGAATTGTAAAGAGAGAAAGGAAGTAAAGAGGAATACCACTTCACTGATTGGATGAGAGTAGTCATCACCTTTTGCGAAAAAACTTGTTTTCCACAAGGCCAACCTTTTTTAGAATCTTTTCCACAATAGGATCCCACTAAGGACGACTAGTCGAATTATGCCAAGGGTGACCAGGTGAAGAAGGCAATGAACCAACCTCATACCCAACCAAAGCAGCCCACCTAAATAATTTATCAGGTTCACACCCTTCAAGAATGTTAGATACCACACCTTTTGAGATGATCCTACTTAGAACATGCACCACAAGCAAGAAAAGGAATAGCGAGAGAGGGTCCCCTGTCTAAGCCCTCAAAGCACAAATCCTACCCCTCAGCCGACCATTGATAGGTATCGAATATTTCACAAAACAAAAGCAAGTCCAATTCAGGATCTCTATCCCTTTCTAGCTAACACCTTCCAGTCCACGTGGTCATATGCCTTCTCAAAATCAATCTTAAAGATAACCCCTTATTTCTTACGAGCTCTACAATCTTGAATCACGTTATGAGCATTAAGAGCCTGATTGGGAATTTGTCTGCCCTAAAGGAACACACCCTGAGCTTCAACGATCGTAGAGGGGAGGAAATTTCTCAATCTATTAACCAATGCTTCCGTAATAATTTTATAGACACCAGTCACCAGGCTAATAGGTATGAAATCTCTCGCCCTTCTTTCTCAATCCTTCTTAAGATTAAGATAGATGAAAGTTTCATTAAGGGAGTTGTTGAAGACCCCCCTCTCATAAAACTCACAAACGACCTTCCAAAGGTCCCCCTCTACCAACTATCCTTGAAGAAGGCCATATTAAGGCCATCCAAGCCTAGGGCTCTATTCCTATCAATATCGAAATCACCTTTTTGATTTCCTCTGGGGAGAAAGCTCCCCTTTCTCCCCATCTAAAGTAGACAAACCTTGGGTAGTGATAGAATCTAGTCCAATCCTTCCAAAGAGGGTCTAGCCTCTATAGGTTGAGACAAGAGAGAGGCATAGAAAGATAGGATCTCCCCCCTCAATCTCTCCATCCTCCTGGAAGCGCACAATCATTTTCCAAGGGGCCATTCTTACTATGATGACTGCCAGCCTCTAAAGTTAAACCCTAAACTAGGATGCCACCAAATTTTGAATCAACTATCTAATAGGTGCCTAATTTAATAGATTTCGGAACTCATTGGACCAACACACTAGGACCCTTTCTACAATACTCACAGCTAGCCCACCCTATCATATCAGTCGGTTTAAATAAACATATTTTGTTAGTAATCGTACGAAAGGAAAATTTTGATTCGTACAGCACATAACATTAGATGCTGTAAGATAGATACCTGCTGTTTGTATTCGCCCTTTTTATTCACTCTAAGAAAAATCTCAAACAAGGGAACACCATCTGCAGCCGTAGTAAGCTGCCTGAGAAAGTTGAGAAACAAAAAATCAATATTTTCTTAGCTGCAGCAGTAAATTAATAAAATATCTTTAAGAACAAGGATCATGGAAACTTTACAGAAGACAATAGCTCTTTCTTTCTTTTTGTATGAAATACCAGACTTCCATTGGGTGAAATAAAAGAATACACAGGCATACAAAGGAAGAAAGAAAACCCACAAAAAGAAGCCAAATACAAGAAGGGGCTCCAATCAAGTAAAATAAGACCTAATAAGAAATTACAATAAGGCCTAGACACCGAGGCCAAGAGAGAAACTGAGAATCTAGTAAAATGCTAATCATCACTTGCTGAATAGATTCTATTGTTTCTCGCACCATGCTAATCATCACTTGCTGAATAGATTCTATTGTTTCTCGCACCGCACAGACCCCACACACCAGCTTGCCACAAAGATAGCATTAACACACTAAAAAAAACAACCCTTTCTTACTGCAGAATAGCATTCGGGAACTAAAGCTCAATTTCCAATAATAGGAATAAAGGGTTCCACTAATCAAAGGACAATGGAACGAAAGAATTCACACATACTCTGACCGAAAGGGGGGCAGGTGAGGTTTTATAAAGTAGATGACCTTCTCGAGATGAGAGTTAAACAAAAACCACATGCATAATTGCTAGAGAGAGAGAAAGAAAAAAAGAAGTTGAAAGTAATGCAATACAACAAAGAATGAAGATCATACCGAGGACTGTAACTTCTTGCAATGTATCTACCATGTTCAGCAGTGATTCGAATAATTAGACCACGAGGATTGTGATTTTCTTTTGAAGTGCCAGACCACCAGCCAACCTAAGAAGAAGAAACCGAACGGAGAAAATCATACATGTACATTGTAATATAAAAATTGTTTCAGATTGTTTAGAAGAGTATCGAGGTTTAATTACTCAGAAGAAATTACTCAATCATGAAAGACCAGCATAACACGTAAACAAAATAGGAAAAAGATCACTGGAAATTCAAAACTCTCTCTTACATTTAATTACAAAGCTCTCAATACATTAGAAAATGGCTGACTACGGTGAGAGGGTTCGTGAGTTACTTTAAAGACGATAGTAAAGAAATAGCAACTAGTTCCGGGCTTGGGAGAAAATAGAAATGAACAAGCAAGTACACCCAGCTTGAACTACATGAGCTTCTAAAACCGATCAACCAAAAAGTCTTCGGGGTATATGCAAATTGCAAGTGCCAAACAACTGAGGAAAGGGGGTGGGGATGAACACATTACAGCAAAAGGGGACTAAAATACAAGCAATTTATTTCAAACTCTTTGAATATCTCACCAACCCAGCACCGGCATTGTCCCGAATGAAGGCTGCATCCCGATACCGCTCCTCCTCTATAGCTCTCTACAACAGAAAAAAGAGGACGTGTAAGAAAAGGACAACTACATCATTGAAGCAATAAATGGAGTACTTCTAGTTCTTAGGTGATCCAACCAAGTTGAAAAACAAATCAAATTCCAGCTGATGAATACTTCTGGAATATTGGAAATATGTTCCAAAGCAGTGTAAGAAATTTTCTAACATGAAGATGAGACATCGCTCTGCCAACAGTATCGTTTGTAGCCAAAGCCGCAATCGCCACCTTGAGTTTAGCAGCATCCTTATAATCCTCTGCATATACCGCATGACTTAAGCGCAACTGCGCAGGAAAGGAAAAACGAAACAAAATTAGCAAAGGAATTCTTCATTGTTCTTGCCATATTCTTTATGAACCTTTTTCCTCGGAATTCCACTCACTGCCCTATCCTTATCTTCCAATAAATTACACAAAACTCATTCTTCTTATTCTAATTCAAATCATTTCAAAACCTAAATTAGAAAGATCCGAGAAAAACCCAAACTACAACACATCAAACTCGAACAAATTACTAGGAAATCAAAATAAAATAACCTTAAGAAAAGAAACGAGGCGCTCCTGATCGTCGACCTCATCGAAATGCTTGCGCCAGCGATCCCAATCCCAGCTCCGATCATCGTCCACATCTTTCTCGCGCAGAACCCCACCGTCAGAACGATTGTCCTTTTCGCCGTCGCTACGGTGGTTCACGAGAGAGTCGAAGCGTCTAACGGCAGTTTGAAAGAGGTCTTGAAGTGAAGAGCCCCAACCCCATGGAGGGGAAGGATCAGAGGGAGAGGGAGAATCAGGGTTGTGGCAGTGGCAGATGGTATGGAATTGGGATGGCGGAGGAGGTGCAGAAGATGAATATGGTTTCAGAAATGGAGTTGGGGAATGGAATTTGGGAGTGGAGAAGAAGAGATGGTGAGGAGTGGGTGGAGAAATGGAAGCCATGGATGGATGAGACCGTATCTGGGGAGTGAAAGGCTAGAAACTAAAAGATGGGTGAGTGGAAAAACGCGAAATTGGACATACCCATTTGATGAACTTGTGATTTCATGTCTGTATTTATACAAAGAAAGAGAGAGGATAAGGATGTTTATGGGTTGAAACTCGAAACACAAAAATATGGGATTTTTTCTTCTCTTTTCCTTCAAATTTGTTGACTCATTTCATCAAAAACTATATTTTCAGGTCTCATAGGATCCCGGGACCTGTGGGTTTGGACCAAAAAAAAAATAAAAAAAAGAAACAACTTTTCTATCAGGCTAGGTTTCGATCCTGGGACCTGTGGAATATAGGCCCGCTACCGCTGCACCACTCTGATGGTTGGAAATGCATCACAAAATATATCATTAGAAACCAAGAGAAAAAGGAAAGAAAAAAAATTGAACGATAACTACTCTTATCAGAGCCAGGTTTCGATCCTGGGACCTGTGGGTTATGGGCCCACCACGCTTCCGCTGCGCCACTCTGATTGCTGGAAAGAAATTCAATAATGTCAAAGACCAAGAGAAAAAAGGAAAGAAAAAAAAAATAAACAGAAGCCACTCTTATCAGAGCCAGGTTTCGATCCTGGGACCTGTGGGTTATGGGCCCACCACGCTTCCGCTGCGCCACTCTGATCGTTGAAATGTTTTATAATTATTGAGAAAATCTCACAACGGCTCTGACAGAGACGAAGTTTGCGCCGGAGCTATCCTCTTGGTGGGTCTTCGCCGTCGGTTCAACGAGTTTCAATGCTGGTTCAGCGTATCTTCAACCCGGTTCAACGTGCTTTCGGTTGGATTAGGGTGATTCTCGACCGGTTTGCAACAGTCCAATCCGGCTGTGAGTACGTTTTGGCCCGATTTTGGGTCGGTTCAAGGCAATTTTCGACTGGTTCAACATACTTAGATCTGTTCCAACCAATTTTCCTCCGGTTCAAGGGGTTTTTATCCTATTACGGTCCGATTTAGTGTTTCTCCCATTTGATTGAGCTGGTTCAAGAGCTCTTTAAAGCATTTCTCATAGGATTTGATGAACTATAAGAATTATACATCTATGCAATAATAGCGATCCGTGACGGGGACTCTATTAGGATTAAACAAAAACGTCTATCAATTAACGAAAGTTTAGAAGTATTGGCATTTGTTAATTAAATAAATTTTCATTGATAACAATTGTTCTTTAAGTTTTACTAGATTCAATTTAGTGTTAATGTTGAAACTTAGTTTTACACCTTTTGAGTGGAGAAATTAAGGCCTAAAGGAGATTCGTACGAGTAAGTTTGCTTTTCAATCGTACACGTTGGAATCATCAAATTTAAACATTCCTCACAACAATATCGAATAAATATCAACTGTAACTCAATTTTTTGCATGCACTTTAGACACTAAAAATAATCAAATAGGAAATGATACTCTGAATCATAGAACTATAATGAAATATTAGACCTTGATACCCGTGCCACCTTCACTGCTGCTACCATGATCATAGCGATCGACTTTCTTGATTACAGCAACAATAACGTCACCAATATGAACATATCTGCATCACGATCCACCTAATATAGGTATTAGGACTGGGCATATGGATTTTGAGAATTAATTGTTGGGAGGAGACTGATGTGGATTTACTCAAATCCTTTTATCGACATGAGTGTTCTATATCGATAAAAAAAAATCTTATCAGTACAGTGAACAAGAAAGAATCTGCTTTACTCAAGCTTTTTTCCCATGGATACATTGTTTTACAGGGGAATAGAAAGGTGCTTAATTCCGAGAGCGCTTTTAAGCTTGAAGAGCAACGCCGCGTCTGCACGAGCGGAATGGATGAGCGAAAGGTGCCGTGCCACATATTCTTATACGGTCAAAAGGGGATCGATTCCGTAAAAGATGAGATCGGTGCAAATAAGCTAAGTAAATATGTGGTCATATGATATGATTTTTTATTGGGAATCACCTTAATTATTATACTTCATATTATGATGATACGATGATACGATGAGAGCCATGATAAGAATATATACTAGCAATCTAAATTCATTGAAAGTTCTTATCACTCCGCTGCTTGATTGTGTATATCTAAACTACACTTTGCAAGGCGACATTTGCTTAAAACAAAGAGTCACATGTTCAAAGCTTACATAAACATGTAAATTATGAGAAAAGCTTACAAACATAAGGGAAAGTGAACTTACTTGTTCAACTTACATATAGGCTTCTTTTCCGGTCTTTCCAAGTGATCGTACTTCCTTCAAGAAGCCTTCTTGTGCAACAAAGGATCAGAGATGACTTGAGGCTCAAACTCGGGCTTTAGATACCGAGCAAGCGTTTCGGCATACATCTCGTACCGAGCAGTCATTCGGAATCCCCATTTGTCTTTCAGCTGCCTACACAAGTTAAGATCCATGTCTGAGATTAATAAACCATCTCGGGAACGGGAGAGTGAGGGAGTGCAAGATGCATCTGGTGCTGAGAAATGGCTGGACCCATAGAAGTGACCAAAATCTGTATGCTGCGGTTTCCCGTCCCCCGAAGTGAAAGGGTTCGGGAATGTCTCCGTCCCTACACGATTGATCGATCCAACGAAATAACTATTTGCTATTGCAGCATTTCGGGCCTGCAAACATAGAATATTCCATTCAACATTATTTAACGGTAATAGATTGCAGTGCAGATGAAGTACACGAGTTTTCTATAGAAGTTGGTAGAAATACAATAGTAATAGGCTGCTCAAACAACAATCACAGTGAAACCAGTTTCGTAATTTATAATTATACCGGATGTGATTGGTCAAAGTGTAAGAAAGTGTAAGGTCATGTAGTCTGCTGCTTATATATAATTACCGCTTACTCAATGGTTATATAACTCAATAAAACTATATATGGTATATATGGTAAATGATATCATAAAGAGTACATAGCTATATACAGTAAAAATCTATATTGGTAGAGCTATGGTAGATAGTTACTGATAGTAGATGATCATATCTAGTAAAACTATATATATAATAAACTGAACCATATATATATTCTACTAGGCTGTGCTTTGAAAATGTACTTTGAATATATACTTTTTGTATTCTCTGTATTTTCTCTTACGCCATGTATTTAATATAAACCTCTAGTTAATATTTCTCCTCGCATATTCTCGGTAGAAAATAAACTTCTAGCCAATGTTCCTCTTTGCATTTTCTCTCACCTATTCTTTGTGTTCATCTAGATCGAGTGTGTGTTGTTGTGCAATCCTAACACAGAGTTAAAAGCATCCAAGCCCAAGGCTAAAAAATGTTAACACATCTAAGCCAAAGGCGAAAAAATGTTAACACAAAGTTAAAGCATCTAAGTCAAAGACGAAAAGTTGAAGCATCTAAGCCGAAAAAAATGTTAACACAAAGCTGAAGCGTGATTCGTAGTTCTCAATCAAAGAAAACGGAATAATTATCTGAATTCATATTCCTTGTTTGACTTTTGGGTATAACTTAAAAGTGAAATGACCTGGACCAAACAAGAGATGGATAAGAACAAGTTAAAGACTAACCTCAATAGGCCACATTGGTTCACTGAGTTCACCAACAGTTGCAGAAGGGTTGAAAACTATCTCAGCTCCATTTAAGCCGAAAGCTAACCAGTTTAAAGGGTGGTGCCTCCCATAGCATATATTTATCGCAATTTTACCATAGGCTGTCTCGAACACGGGATGCCCGGTGTTTCCTTCCATGTAGTACGTGCTCTCATTAAAGTCGCCAACTCTTGGTATATGGTTCTGCAACACTTCATTAAAAAAAGTATTTTTGACAGCCGAGAAAGCATGACATGAAAATTAACTCGAAATAACTGTTACCTTGCGATGCTTGCCAATTATGTTTCCATGATTTCCAATAACAACAGCAGTATTCCACAAAGTTTCTCCATGACTAACATCTCTCTCAAGAATGGAACTTACAATGACCATGTTGTATTTTAATGCAAGATCCTGAAGAAACCTTGTCGATTCCCCATCAATTGGCTCTGCAAATTCACACCACCGCTTCTCACGGGTACAAAAAGCAAATGGCATCATCCATGCTTCCTACATATGTATGTCTATGGATATTAAACAAAACCCAAAAAGAGATATAAGTAGAAATACACACGAAGAAAGCTGGCCAGGGAAACCTACTTGCAAGCATAATATGTTGACTCCAGAAGCACCTGCTGCATCAATAATTGGCTTTACTTTCTCAAGAATAGCCCTCTTTTGGTCTGAAAAGGGGGAAGTTGTTGGAAGAGCAATAGAATTTTGGATAAGACCCACCCTTACTATTCGAGGTACTCTCACTGATTCCTTGTCAGCAATAAAGCGGAAAGCCTGGAATGATTTAAGAGAACAATAGATAGAAACATCAATAAAATGCCATAGAAATTTATTTTTTAAAAAAAAAGAGCCACAAGCTCCTTTCATCACATAAATGTTGCATGGTGAATATAAAAATGGTTATGACATAGATCAGAATAGAAAGGTAGGTCACAGTAATTATTTTGCAGAGAGGCTTTCAAATGTTATCAAAATCTACTGTATCGTTAGAGATGAATAAAGGCAGGCCGCTTCAACAGGACCTATTCTCTTAATAGGCAGCAAAGCAAAATAGAAAAGGAGCCGAGGATGAGTGCCTTTTTAGCCTTTTTCTAAAGAATCTCATGTGAAGCTAACATGGCTCGCTACGTACAAGTATAGCCAAAGAAAGATGAGACGGGACGGACGGTCAGAGGCCGCAGCGGTTACAGGCATCATCCCCCCGTTGTTGGATAATTGATATGTTAGGATGACCATAAAGAGGTCTGACTTTCTAATCATACTTTTGAATTATTTTGATCTTTCCTCTTTTTGTATTTGTAAAAGAGAGGGCAAGAGAGCAATGAATGTGAGTTATAAAAAGACTACACAACCCATATTGAACTCGATTCTCTAGGAAGAATATGAATAAAAATCAAGAACTACATCTTTGTTTTTCGATATAAGAATTAATTTACCATAATCCATCAACTTAATTTTTCATATTCATCAATAACTTTACAGTACCAGAACAAGAGGTCATGTGTTCAAACCTCTATAATTTTATTTTCTTCCCGATTTATATTGGTATCCACTTGTTCGACCTTCAGCGAATTTCCAAGTTCACAAGTGAGGGGAATATAAGATTAAATTTTTCATAATTCATCTACTTACGATTGTTAGTGGTGATTTAACAAACCAATATGACAATATCATGTTTAAACAACAAAATAAAAGGTAGAGATTGCTAATTGTTTCTGGAAAAACAGATCTCTGGAACCAAATCAAGTTCTTACTAAAGCAAGCACAAATATTAATAGGTTTCTGCATTGAAAATAATATATAATCAAAGTTACCAAAGAAACTTAAGAAACGACTCCTACAAAGTTACTACCTGGAGGTCAAAATCATGCTTTAGAGAAAGACTCTTCACAGGCTCTGCAAGAGGAACAGTTTGAAGCGGCTTTCCACAGTTAAGCCCTAATAGCAACCGGCTAACTTCCTGGGATTAGCAACACAATTTTGAAGTTCGTCGAATATTTCAAATGATCAAAGCAAAGAAAGAACTACCAGAAGCATGCTAACAGAACAAAGATCTATATCAATTCAGAAGTCACATGTGTTGGATGAAAGTGTCCCACATTGGTTAATTTAACGAATGGTCATGGGTTTATAATAAAAAAAATACACTTTCCATTGGTTTGAGGCCTTTTGGGGAAGCCCAAAGCAAAGCCATGAGAACTTATGCTCAAAGTGGACAATATCATACCATTGTGAAGAGTTGTGTTCGTCTAACATAGTATCAGAGTCATGCCCTAAACTTAGTCGTGCCAATAGATTGGCAAATCCTCGAATGTCGAACGAAGGACTCCAAAAAAAAAAAAAAAAAGGAGTCAAGCCTCCTCAAAGGCAGAAAAAAATGACTAAGACTCCAAAGGAGTCGAGCCTTGATTAAGGGGAGGCGTACTTTGTTCGAAGGGAGGTATTGGATGAAAGTGTCCCACATTGGTTAATTTAGGGAATGGTCATGGGTTTGTAATCAAAGAATATACTCTCCATTGGTTTGAGGCCTTTTGGGGAAGCTCAAAGCAAAGCCATGAGAGCTTATGCTCAAAGTGGACAATATCATACCATTATGGAGAGTCGTGTTCGTACACTACATATATTATATCAGCACTGCTAATCGACTACGATTAATTCTTTTCAACAAAACAAAGTCTCCTCACCTTTGGTTAGAGTTCACACGATCATTTTCAAACCTTTAGCCTAAACAGAGTATCAACAGTTAACAACTAAATTTCGAATCAAAATGTTTAATCAGCTGATAAAACCTAATACATCCAAAAAATCAAGCATCTCTCAAATAAAGTAGGAAAAGATTTCCAGATTCACAGAATCAACCGCCTAAAAGTATGAAATCAAACAGAACTCGAAAAAAATGAGCAAAAACAATCGAATCGTAAACAGATCATCAACAATTTTCCGTCATCGCTAATATTTCAGCGAACTCTATCCATACAAAGAAAATCGATCAAAAAAGAAGAGAAAAACGACCTGGAATATCTGAGGTTTGAGATTTGCGGCAAGGAGTTGATGAAGCGAGTCGTAACCACAGACCGAGGCATCGTTAGTAGCGTCTTTTCCATCGTTAAGCTCTCCGTTTACAGCGTCAGTGTTTGAGATCTTCTCCATTGCTCTCTCTTCCTGATCTCGTTGAATTGGAGCGAGATGAAGGCGTGATCAAATTCAACACACAACTCGATGATGATTGATTATATGAATTGTGGTTTATCCGACAAATTATTGTAAAACCAGCGGAGCAATTCTAGCATACGATTGAGCTGTATCGCCATCACCAATCCGCCAGCCTACGAAAAATATTCCAAATTCTGGAATAATCCAAAAACAAATACATTAATTAATGATTAAAATATTATTTTCTTTGTATTATTTAATTTTAGTCCATTAACATTTTTTATGAATTTTTAAAATATATCCACCTAATATCTTTTTTGCATGAGAATTAATATAATTTATTTAATAAATTTCAACAAAAGTTACGTGTCAACATGAACTATAAAATATATAAATATAAATAAATATAAAATTAAAATATATAATATAAAATTAAAATTTTAAGATTAAATTTATTTTCCAACCCTCTTAAAAATGATTTTTAAATATTTAAAAGACGGTTCGGGTCCTCGCTGAAAAAGTGAGGCTTTCCAAGACGAGTAGACCTTAGTTACCCGTTTATTGGGACCTGCAAGAAGCTGAATTTCTTGGTTGAAAAAGGAGCTGGATCTTCACTAGAAGATCAAGGCCATGTCGAAAAATACCCGAGGCACTTCCTCTTAGCCATTAACTAGAGCTCTTTGTTTAAAAATGGAATCCTCTGATGAACCACCGATTGCTTGGTTGAGTTCTCCCACATAGCGTCAAGGAATCGAAGCAATCCTGAGATGGTATGGCATAGCGCTCGACATCTTCATGATTCTCGATCTAAGCCTCTTTAGCCCACTCTCTTTTTACATGGCCAACGAGTTGGTGTACTCTTCCTCGACGCTGACCCGATAGAAGTCAAGCCCTTTGTCTCAAAAAGAATGGTCTCAATCTTCTTCTTTCTTAGCATTACTGTAAACCATTTGATCCTAGTCGTCTTGCGTGGAAGGAGCCCGATGACAAAGATTTAGCTTCTCTCACCCCTAAATATATACTACTATTAGATTGCGTCCAACCACTCGATCGATTCTGACTCGAACCTAACCACTCCGCTTTTGGAGATGACAGAGACTTTACTCAACGTCTTGACCCATCCATAGTTGGCTAGATCTTCAAAATATATATTCAAATTGAATGGTACAATTAAATAAATAAATAATTTAGATAAACAACTCGAATAAACTCAAACAATATTTTAATTAGGTTGAGTTCATTGTTTAATAACGATTGTTCGGGTTAAAAAGTTGACCATTCGAACAAGTAAGTTAAGTTTAAAGAATATTTGAACCCGACTTAACCTAATTCACGAAAATCTTCAGAGTGCAAGCACAAAAATATTCCTCCAATTTTGATAATATAGAAAAACATTAAAAAGACAATGAAACTATATAAATATTTGTGCCTATCTCAATTCGCCACATGTCTGTTTATTAAATTTATTCAATTCATCATTGTGGAAAAAAACAGATCTGCTCTCTTTTGGTTCATCTTCCATTTTGATATGATTCGTGTACGAGCATTAATTTTGCTTTGATTTATGTATGAGAATTAGTATTGTTATGCCTATATAAAAGTTTGTCTAGCATTATTTTGAAGTGCGGAGTCATTGCCATTTTGTATTGTCTAAAGGCAATTGAGACGAATTTTGTACGAGAGACTTTATAGCATGAGAGCGTGAGAAATACACTTATAAACACTTTAGTTATAGTTTTTGTAGGCGAATTTCTTCTCTCCGAACATGTGGGTGTGTGAGTATGATCAATCTTGCTTCTGCTACCGCTACAACATTTAAATATCAGAACATTTTGGTTGTGGCATTAAGTTACGTGTCCCCTGCCTTTTATCATTTTAGGGTTTCATGCATTTGGCTTTGTTGTCTTTATGCTCCTCCATCTCCACAAGCCCCTTTGTTCTCCTCTCTCAAATTAGGCTAAAATTTTCAATTTGTATGGAAAACTCGAACACTTTGAATCACATTTGGTCGATCTCCAGAGTTTAGGATATTTGGGTCCTCAATGATGTTATTCGGTAACGGTTCAAGTCCACCGCTAGCCAATATTGTTCTTAGGCTTTCCAAGTTTTTAAAACGTATAGGCTAGAGAGAGGTTTTCACATCCTTATAAAAAATGTTTCATTCTCCTCCTCAATCGATGTGAGATCTCACAATTCACCCCGGACCCAAGCGTCCTTGCTGACACTCCGCCTTGTATCCACCCCCCTTCGAGGTTCAGCCTCCTCACTAGCACACTGTCCCGTGTCTGGCTCTGATATCATTTGTAACAGTCCAAGCCCAAGCCCAAGCTCACCACTAGCAAATATTGTCTTACTTGAGCTTTTCCTTTCGAGCTTTTCCTCAAAAAGTTTCTAAAACATGTCTGATAAAGAGAGATTTCCACTCTTATAAAGAATGTTTCATTCTCTTCTCCAACCGATATTGATAGATTGTTTGTTACCTAGATATTATTCTTTTCGACTAGAAACTCTTTTTTGTAGGTTGAGGCTCCTCGTACCTAGGCTGCTTCTTTGTTAATATCGCACAACAACTCACACTCAATCTAGATGAACACACAAAATAAAAAAGAGAAAATGCAACAAGTATAGGCTAAAGATTTATATTGATAACTCCTAATAAGTATCGTAAGAGAGAATACAGAGAACACAAAAAAATACATTTCAAAATACTACCCAGTTCAGTTTAATTATATATAGCTTTACCAGATATAATCATCTACCATATAACTATCTATCATATATAATTTAATCAAATATAACTCTGTTTACAACATACAACTATTTACTTTATATGTCATTTATCATATATAGTTTGCTATAAATAAACCGTGTCATTTTTTTACCCCGTCCTCTCAGATGAAGTTGAGTTTTGAGTGTAGTTTGTCCATTTCTTCTTGTTGTGGTCAATTTTGTTCATATTGTGGGCGTAAGTTGTAAGTCCCTGCCTCAGTGCCTCAAGATTAACTCCATTGTCAACCAGAATACTTGTGACTCCCATTTTTGAAACCTGTTGTTGCCATCACAAAACTTTGTTAAGATGGGGAAATACATAGATATGATATCCTTAAACTGTTTAGTATTAGTATGAGTTTTACCGTTACGATATTCCGATCCTCGTCGTCAAAAAATAGCATAGACGTGAAAGGTACGCCGGTACTCGAATGAATTCTCTGGAAATGATCTGTTTTGTGTGTCCAACTAGCAAAAATCTCCTGGAAATGTTCATCATGAAAAACAGGATACAGTTAATAACCAAAAATAAAAATGGCCAGAAAACCGTCTAAGCCTACTACTAGTAGATATTGTCATTTTTGGACTCTCTTGCAAGATTATCATTTTTGGGCTCTCTTGCAAGCTTTTCGTTAATGTTTTTAAAACGCGTATGCTAGAAAGAGGTTTCCACACCCTTATAAACAATGTTTCGTTCCCCACTCCGACCGATGTAAGATCTCACAGTCCACCTCTCTTCGGGGCTCAGCATCCTCGCTAGCACTTGTTCCTCCCTCAAATCGATGTGGGATCTCTCAATCCACCCCCCTTCGGGGCCCAGTGTCTTCACTGGCACTCGTTCCTCTCTCCAACCGATGTGGGATCTCACAATCCACCCCCATTCGAGGCCTAGTGTCTTCACTGGCACTTGTTCTTCTCTCCAACCGATGTGGGATCTCAAAATCCACCTCCCTTCGGGGCCCAGTGTCTTCACTGGCAGTCGTTCCTCTCTCCAACCGATGTGGGATCTCACAATCCACCCCCCTTCGGAGCCCAGTGAAGACACTGGCACTCATTCTTTTCTCCAACCAATGTGGGATCTCACAATTCACCCCCCTTCGAGACCCAATATCTTCATTGGCACTCGTTTCTCTCTCCAATTGATGTGGGATCTCACAATCCAACCCCCTTCACTGCCCAACGTCCTCACTGGCACATCGCTCAATGTCCACCCCCTTCAGGGTTCAGCTTTCTCGCTGGCACACCGCTCGGTGTAGACGCCTTTTGAAACATTCTTTTAGCTACAATCTTTGAAGGTTCATTCGTGCCAGGATCATAGAGAATACTGCTGGGAAAACATCATTCAAACCAGGAGAAATGGATAATTCTCATTCCACAAAGAAGCAGAAGAAATAGACTAAAACTTCAAAGCTGATAACTGAACAAGAAATGTAAAATGACTAATGCATTCGCATTCTCACCTGAGTTACGAACAGTGACTTGATTCCTAATTTATCAATAAACGCGTTGGCAATATCAGATGTTGGTGATCTAGAAGCGATGGCAAGGTCAATTCCCTTGTCTTTAAGTGCATATAATATGCCATTGGCATGAGGAAACAGAGATGGTTGTTCACGTTTTGAGAGACAATCACTGTCAAAAAAAATCAAATGGTTATTGAGCTAGTCTTTCGTGAATGAATTTCATCCCTAACGCTTGCAGATATTTTCTTTAGGATTTTTCTTTCGGGCTTTCTCTCAAGGTTTTTAAAATGCGTCTGTTAGGCCAATATTCATCTGTTGTCCATCGATTACACCTTTCAGCCTGATCTTAGGCCTTGGCTCACCCTCCGTGAATGAACCTTACTGAGGAACCCTTAGGTTTATAGGGCATTGGATTCTCACCAATGTTTGCGTTCGACGGAGAGTTTATCACACCCTTATAAAGAATATTTCGTTATCCTCATCAATCGATGCGGGATCTCACAATCCACACGAGGCTATGTGCCAACAAGAAGGTTGGGCCTCGAAAGGGACTGGATTAGGGGGTCCCACATCGCTAGGAGAAGAGAACGGGTGTCAGCAAAGACACTGAGCCCTGAAGGGAGTGGATTGTGAGATCCCAAGTCGGTTGAGGAGAGGAGAACAAAACATTGATTATAAGGGTTCAAAATCTCTCCCTAGCAAACACGTCTTAAAAACTTTGAGGAAAAGCCGAAATGAAAGCCTAAAGAGGACAATATCGGCTAACCGTGGACTTTTACCGTTACAATTTCTTAGAAGAACCTTCTCATTCGAGTCAAATTACAAGACAAACAAAATGAAAAACAATGAAAGCAAACGTAAACATAGACCACAACAGCCGATCGATTTCATCAAAACTCCCCTAACAGCAGAAGAAAGCACAGCAGCATTCAATCGGCTCAGAAATGAATCCAATAAAACAATTCAAGAACAAAAAAAAATCCATCGACGTGCGTTTTTCAGAGTCAACAATCGGAAAAGTGAATCAAAAGATGAAAACAGAGGAGAAAGTACCAATAGAATGGCCAGAGAGTGTAATCGAGGTCGAAAACTACCAATCTCGGAAGAACTTGAAACATTCCTATAATCTGCAGAGCCTCCGCCTTGACTCTCTCGTCGTCCATCTCTGTTCCTCCACTACGACGACGCGGAACTGCCTTGGATTCGATTCGCGCTTTGTCAAGCAATTGATTAGTTGAACGTTCAACGGTTGAAAATTGGGGTTTTGAAAATGTAGCAATTTCTTGAATTACAAAAACATAATAAAATATTTTGCCAAAATGAAAAAAAATACCTTTGTAACAATAAATAAAAAATAAAAAAATAATACGTATTTTATATCGAGTATATATATAAAGTCTATAAAAAAAACGGTATATCGATTATATACGTTATGTTCTGTATGATATTTGTTATACTTTATTAATAATATATAAGTACTATACATGCGATATTCGACCAATCTGAGCATAGCTTAGTGGAAAATGACGTCAATTTTTATCTTGAAGATTGATGATTTCATCTTTGTCTCTAAAATGGTTGAACTAAAAAAATGGTGGTATTTTGCTCGGGGTAGGCCATGTCACCCTTACCCTAAAAGTTATCAGTATCGTAGTTTCTAACGAGAGCTTTTCAAGAAAATTAGTAAACCTTCGACTTCAGGAAACTTAAGAAAAGAACCCGTGACAGATTTAAGAAAAGCTTTACTAGGACCGCTCATTCAATCCGAGAGTTATACAATATGGTATCTAGTTTACGACTATTCATTCAGTGTTCATAGGAATGATAACAGATGAGATGATCGGGTGAGAGCATTTAGGATGTTGTGCGGGCTATAAATGACCGTATTAGCCCCATTTGGAATTGTGTTAGTATAGCTATATTATGTTACATGAAAATTTTCAAGTTTTCAAATTCGACTTCCATTATCTACAACATATCAAGAAACTAAAATTGTATTGAGATTTATCGTAAACTTTCAATTTATTAAAATTCACCAAATAAATATTACTTTAATTTTTAATACAGATCTTTGGATATTTCTCAATGTCCCGACTATTCACGGAACGTGAGAAGCAGATGAATAATCATTCGTTTCCGGAAGAAATCCAAGAATTTCTCGGGAATCCTACAAAATCCATTCGTTTTCTTTTTTTCTGAGAGATGGTCAGGACTTCATATAGATTCGAATTCTGTTGAGAGGTTCACTAGGGATCAGTTCTAAAATATTTTATTTTTCAATGAACAAAAAAAAAAAAAAATTGAAATAATCATGCACCCATCTCTTCAATTGACCTTGATGGTTTCAATATATTGTTGGTTGTTAATGGCTTGAGTTGGTGCTTACTTAGCCTCTAGGATTTCCAAGGAGACAAAGTTTGTATCGAAGGTTATGATAATTATATTGCCACGCGGTTATGCACTCTTTGAATAAGAATCTATTTTCTGAAAGATTCTGACTTTCGATGGGTCTCCAAGATCTTTTCAATGACCTATATTGTGTTGAAGGGATATCTATATGATCCGATTGATTGCGTAAAGCCCGCGGTAGCAACGGAACCGGGAAAAGTATACAGAAAAGACCGTTCTTTTCTATTCTATTAATATTAGATTAGTATTAGTTAGTGATCTCGACTCAGTGAGTCATTTTTCTTCCGTGATGAACGGTTGATTCCAACTAAAAACTATTGGTGACATCATTTGAAACCTCATTCACAATAAAATTTGAGATCAAATGGAGTATGTACACACATTTTACTTTTTTATTTAAATGCTCTGAGTTCTTTATTCAAATATATTAATTACAACATAAAAAAAATAATAAAAAAAAAACGAAAAATCCCCTTAATTAAAATTAATAAGGAGTACCTTAGAATTCATGAGGGATTTACTTCTATAGCGGGAAATTTTTGTAATGCATACTAAATAATAATAATAAAGAAAATTTGCATTTTTCTATATTGTCAAAAAATTTCTTCTTTGAAATATTTTAAGTATTTGGAAAAAAAAAAAATTCGATTTCAGTTTTGGATATTAAAATTTTTTATTAATGGATCCTTTTTTAAAATCGACAAGAGCGGGTGAATCAGAAAAATAAATTATAAGAGTTGGTGAATCAAAAAAATAAATTAGGAATTAAATATATATATATATATATTTTTAGAATATACGTACCAATATTGATGGATCATACCTTTCATCTCTTTGTATCGTTTCATTTGATCTTTTAGGTCCCTACTTCACCTTGACCGTATATTCATGGATCATACCTTTCCATTTGATGTCCTTAAAGCCTATATGCAAGGGAATATTTACTTATTCTAACATAATTTTGGTGTCTATTTTTATAGAAAAAGTTGTTTATAAGAGTAAATACGGAAAGTTTTGGAGGTACTAGAAATTTTTCAATAAATAAGAAACAAGCCCATATAGGTAATGACAGCCACTAGGAAGCATAAAGAAACTTATCTCTGAAATTTAAGGAAGACAGTAATGCATTGGAATCCACATCTGAATATATATATATATATTGGGAATCCATTAATAAAATCACCAACACACTCGGATGCAGTAAGTGGTTGCTGAAAAAATAAAAAAAAATTAATTAGAAACAATCAAACAATCGAACAAAAATGTTGCCTTTGCTCTTAAGAATTGACGCAATTATTATATCTCAATCATCATCAGCTGAAGCACTTGCAGCACTGAGATCCACAGAAAGATCAAGAGCCTGCCACGATTTAAGAGAGAGTTGTTGGCAAGATATCATACCAGAGGATTTCGTTTCAAATCATTTAGCAAATAACATATCATTTTTCATAACTTTTTTGCTTTTTTTGAAAATGGTTTGCAGAAATTATCTGAAAATTCTAGTCAAAATTTGCCCTATTTCAAAATGATTATTGTGTACCTTTCCAGTGATGTTGCCGTACATCGCAAGCACATCTGCTACTGTAGACTCAAAATGGGTGCTTGCATCGTAACTCTGCATTAAAACCAATGTTCAAAGCTCGTAAAATGTGTCGAAGTAGAGAATATAAACAGATTGAATCTCAACCATTGATTTGTTAAACAGAAATGAAAAATCGAATACTAAAGGTGTGTCAATATCCGCGTTAGGAAATTAAGAACTTAAAGCCAAAACAAGATGTCCAAATAAGAACATCTACCCGACTGATAAACTATTCATACCCAAAAGGATTATATCCATTGATAAGATGGGAAGAGTTTAACTATAGATAATCTCTTAACCATCCCATCAAATAAGTGGAAGATTCATTAAACGGTAAAACGTTACCTTGCCATAATGTGATGGGCTTCTAGTGCCAATAAAAAGTAACTCATCCAATGGTATTTAACATCCAAAAAACGGCCAAATAAAAGGGGTTCGTTGTTTCAGTATTGCATATTCGGTTTTGTATCTATGCTTTCCATTTGTCTCCAACAATTTCTTTTATGAGAAAGGAAGAAATAGATTTTTGAACTTACCATAGATATGAAGCAATTGTCTGTTTCATGGTTATTTGCGGGAATAAATCTGTCATAAGTTTCATAGAATATCTCATCAACAGGTCCAAGGAGGTCAATCCCAGGCTTCAATTCTATCTCAGGATTGTCAGTCTCTGCTTCTGTGGAAACGAAAGCAATAAATTTTCCTTTTGGAGCAACGTTGTGTGCATATGAGCAACAGAAGAGGTACCTAGGAAAAAAGAAAAAGGAAAACAACTAATTAGTTTATGAGACTGTCAGAAGAAGAATTAACAGGTATCAATCAAACCATTATCACCAGGCATTTTAGTGTGTATCATTTTACGAGAATCGAGTATGATATACATCAATCAGAAGAGGTATGCGATAAATTCAGAACTCCTTTTATTTTTTGGGTTTGAAAAAAATGTGGATTTAATCTTATAATATGTTAGGAAATTTCTTATGATAATCATCCATATCTAAGACATATCTTAATGCCTGAAAGTTAGGTAGGATAACTATTGCGTGCCCCCAAGTTTTATGAAATACAAGAGGTCATCAAGAATGGCATCTAAGTAGTCTGTAATGTTTTGGCATAGCACTTACATGTCTGATTTACGGCCAAGTTGCTTTTGCGGTAGGATAACCTGAGCTGAATGAGAATCATGGGTGTTTGGGATTGGATGACTCATTATACAAACTGCACGAGCTACTTTTCCAACCTTCTGAACCTGTTGAATCAAGAAAGCAAAATCGGCAGATAAAACATAATGAGTTCTCTACCATATATATATATATATATATATATGCATCTATATCAGCCTCAGGTTTATGTGGACAGCCCAAAAAATACACATTGACAAAAATTAACTTATAGGCTCCCGGAATAGTACTATAAGAATTGGTACTGAACATCCTTTCTGTAATTGTATATGCTCCCATAGCAATAACTTATTTTGGTTCAGGAATTTGCTCTTATAATCTTACTAAAAATGAGTCATTTTCATTATTATCGTGCCCTGTTAAAATTAAGTCTGCCTGTCTAGGACGAGATCGTGGTACCAGTCCAAAATGATATATACATATAATATGTACATATAAGTCTTTGGCCTCCTGGCTAATGGTTCATAACAAATGAACTTGACTCGACACAATAAACCATTGGTTAATACTTTTTGGATGTTGAGTACCTTGTTTGGCAGATACGATGGGTCACAAACAACTTTTTTACATTTAGCAGTTTCTCCTTCGGAAGTCACACCATAAGCTTTCCCATCGCCATCAAACTCGACCTGTTATTCGAAAATCAATAAATCTCAAAAGGGGTTACTTTTAGATTTTAAGTTACATAGTAATCAATGATTTTCGGCGAACATGATGAGGATCAAGAAATTTACAGAGCTTAGGATACAAGCCAACTGTTAGCGAGGTACACTCTTCAGTTTACCTTACATTCTGGCTTGTTGAGCATGTAAGTTCCACCATAAACGGCACTTAAACGGGCAAATGCCTGACAATAATGTTATAAAAAGATAAGAAAATATTCTTTGTATGATATTAAAGATTTAAACTCTAAACATACCTGAGGCAACTCTCCAAGTCCGTAGAGTGGATAGATATAGGGAGATCCTCCTTGGAAGCGTGCCAAAGATTCTGCGTAAAGCTATATACAACAAGTGCCAATTCCTTTGAATACAAACAGCTTACCAGTTTTAATACAGTGCAAGACTTTCAATTTTCTTTTCTTATT